TGTCTGTCTTTCCCTTCCACTCTTTCTGAAAAGCAATGGAAAAAATATCCTCGGGAGAGGATTAAAGGAAAAAAAGAGGCTAAGCCATTTGTCTTGTAGAATGGGCCACATTCTGGATTCACCTGGTGCCATTTAACTCGTTCCTCTATCCCCTGTGTTTTTTGCAGGCTAAACCTTTCCGGCAATAATAAATACTTCACAAGTGAAGCTTAAAGAGACACCTTATTTAATGCTATTGTCAACATTTTAGTTTCCTATTCCCTTGTCTCTCCTCTTCCACCTTAACTGTTTCATCGTTTTCTTTCTGTCTGCTCGTGTTCTCTTGCTCTTTCCTTTTGCTCTGCCTTCTATACTTCTCTTGGATGTACTCCATTTTCCCCCCTCTCTTTTTCCTGAAATTGAAGTGGGGGGAGGGGAAGAGGGAGGGAGAATATGAGCACTGTCAAGGTGAGAAATGGGAATATGGAATTCAGTGCCCTGTTCCTTAACCCATATGTGTATGTACCTTATTGTGTCCATCTCTGTATTTTTAATTTGATTTCAAATATTCTATGATTTGAATACACTTTTTTTTAATACTTTTTTTAAAAAAAATATCTTTATTGGTTTCAGAGAGAGAGGAAGGGAGAGGGAGAGAAACATCAATGATGAGAGAGTCATTGATCAGCTGCCTCCTGCACGTCCCCCGCTGGGGATCGAGCCCACAACCCGGGCCTGTGCCCTGACCAGGAATCGAACCCCGATCGCCTGGATCCTAGGTCGATGCGCAACTGCTGAGCCACGCCCGGCCGGGCTTAAATACACTTTTTGGTGAGGGTGAATATATGGTTCATTTGGGTATGTCCATAACACTTACAAGTATGCTTTTCTTATCTACTAGCCTAAGAAATTTTAACCAAAAATTTTCATTTCACCAAGTAGCAGGTGCGAAGGGAGGGAAGGGAGAGGAGATGAAGTAGGGCCAGACCTTTGCTCTCCTCCTTGGATGGTGCTTATTTGGCCTGTATGTCCCTGGAATTGTGGGACAGCACTGCTCCTGTGTTTCATGAAGCTTTCACCCTTTCTTCTCAGAGACCATGTGAAAGCAATGGAGGAAAGAAAATTACTTCATAGTATTTTGGCGAAGTCACAGGAAGCACTGCCACCTAGGAAAATGAAGGACAGTTATGTCGAAGTTCTCTTGCCTTTGGGCAGTCAGCCTGAACTAAGAGAGAAATATTTGACTGTTCAAAACACCGTAAGGTAACAGCACTATTTTTATTTGTGTTATTTATTTGTCTTTATTTCATTTCCTTTCTTTATTGCAACTTTGCGATATAATTCACACACCATACCACTTACTTATTGAAAACGTGGAATTCTGTGGTTTTGAGTATATTCCCAGAGCTGTCCAACCATCACCACAATTAATTATAAAACATTTTCATCACCCCAAAGTATGTTATTTATTTTTACTGGGCTATCATGATTTTCATTTAATCCCTGTTTTCTTTGTTTCACAGATTTGGCAGGATTCTTGAGGACCTTGACAGCTTAGGAGGTACTGGTATTATTTAGTATTTCTAAATAGAAACTTTGAGCTATATATTGAAGCCTATGGCTAGAAAGGGATTTTTTATTCTTTAACTTGCACAGGTGAGGATATTGTAAAAGAGCAGAAAAAGAAGGGCTGCTACCTCTGAATTGTCATAATCTTTCCTGAAAATGTAGATTCCTACTGAACAATTAGAATCTGATTAATCCCCCTTTCTACTAACTTTTTTAAAAGTCAAATTTATAGAAAAGTTGCAAACAAGTACAAAGAATTGTTCTTCCCTGAATCTTGTGAGAGTATGTTGCTGGCATGCACCCTCCCCCCAATATTTTCATGTCTGTTTCCTACAAACAAGGACCTTCTCCTGCAGAACCCCAGTGCAACCCTCGATGGCAGGACATTAACACTGGTACATTAGACCGTCCAGTCCTCAGACCCCATTCAACTTTTGCCAGTGGGACTTTATAGGGGAAGGATCCAGCTCTGTATCACATGTTGCATGTAGTTGTCATGTCAGGAATAGTTCCTCAGTCTTCTCTGACTTTCATGACCTTGACACGTTTGAAGGTTATAGGTTACGTCTTTTGTCGGATTTCTCTCCGTCTGGGTTTGTTTGATGCTTCCCCAACATGCATCTCTGGCAGGAATGTCACAAAGGGATGCCGTGTTCTTATTGCATCTTGTCGAGTGGTGCATAATTTTTATTTGCCCCACGACTGTGATGTTAACTTTGATTCCTTGTTGAAGGTGGTGTCTGCCAGGCTTCTTTGCTATAAAGTTATTCTTTTCCTCTTTGTAACTAATAGATACCTTGTAGGGAGGTACTTTGGGACCTTGTAAATATCCTATTCCTCATCAGACTTTCAACTTACCACTTTAAAATCAACATCAGGGCTTCCTATTTTATTGAATAGGTTATAATGTGTTACTATCATCTATTTTGATATTCAAATTGTCCCAGGACTGCCCTAGTCCCTTCAAGCTGGCTTTTTTGGTTTTTGGTTTTTCTTTTGATGTGTCCTATCTTTTTTTGAGCACTTCCTGTCTTTCTGGCATGGCAAGATGTTCTAGGTTCATTTGTACTTTCCCTGCTCTAGTCCTGGAATCAGTCAAATCTCCAAGGAGCCCTGGTTCTTTTTAATGGAGAATAATATTGATTGATTGGTTGATTGATTGATTGATTTTTAAAGAGAGAGAAAGGGAGAGGGGTAGAGAGAGAGAAACATCCATGAGAGAGAAACATCATCGATCGGCTGCCTCTTGCACACCCCCTACTGGGGATTGAGCCCAAAACCCAGGCATGTGGCCTGACCAGGAATTTAACCATGATCTCCTGGACCATAGGCCGATGCTCAGCCGCTGAGCCACACCGGCTGGGCTGGAGAATGATATTTAGGAACCATGATCTGGGTGCTGGGAGCTGAGTGGTCCTTGCTGGTGGGGTATGACTGCTCCCATGCCCTTTCAATGAATGAGCTGGGGAATATATGCACATGCACACATTTGCCTCTGTGTTTATCTGTCTGTCTCTCTGTCTGGAAACCACGAGTTCACATTGATAGTTCCAATTCAGCACCACAATTTCATTCTTTTTTCTTCCCCTTTCATATTTATAAGTTCCTTTTCCAACTGGCTCCATTATTCTTAATACATCTACTTACTTGATCAGTTCCACTGGATGTAGCCAATTTCATACCTTTGCCACCCCTAGCCCCTCATGGACGCTCCCCTCACCTCACTGGGGTTCTATTCCATGCCAGGTCCCCTCTGCAGGTCACTCTCCTCCTTGTGCTCAGGGTACACTGCTGGGCCATTACTCTTGTTGCCTTTCTGCGTGTTCTCCTGACCCCCCTTGGCTTTCAGCACCCTACTCTGGGCCACGCTGCTTGCTCCTGCCTAATGCCTTGTAGACTGAACTATGGGAAAGGGCTTTAAGAAGGCTCTGATAACTTTAAAAATATAGACGTAGGTCCACTGTTAGCCTTACACCTAGCTACTTTTGTCTTCAGATTAGATAAACCGGGTTAAAATTTCTTATTGGCCTTTAAAAAAATTATACACACACATACTTGACTTTGATTTACTTAAGTGTCCCTAAATATGCAAACTCCCCTGCCACTCCCTGGCTTTCTCCTCAGTAGCCCCTGTTGATGCCAATCACCTTCCCCTGTTTACTTGATTCTATTCTTTCCATGTCTTCAAGGAACTTGCTTTATCATATATTTAAGTCTCTTTTATCTTAAAATGAAAAACAGGCACAATCCCCTTCCCTGTAACACTCTCTCCCTCACTTCGGAGCTAACTTTCTGGAAAGAACTAGACAAAATGCATTTGCTCTCATTGCCTCTACCCTTTTTTGTTAAACAAAATTTTTATTTATTTATTTTTAAATTTCTCTTTATTGTTGAAAGTATTACAGACGTTCCCCCCCATTGA